ATATTTTCATAAGCTTATTAAACATCAATTTAATTTCAGATCCTTTTGAAGCATTTCTCATCTTTTCCATTCGTCATGAGATCAGAAGGATTGATCTTCATAAGAGAGACTACAGTCTGCTGGTTCCTGGATTGAGAAACACAATAGCACTTGATTTTCACTTCAATCAAAGTTTGCTTTATTGGACAGATGTTGTAGAAGACAGAATATACCGAGGCAAGCTTTCTGAAAGTGGAGGTACACATATTAAAATATTGCTTACTGTTACTTTTTAATTGAAAATTTCCCCCCAAAATTATAATCAGAAGCGTCAATCTTTCACCTTTTATTCTTTATCCTTCTCTCATATGCAAAAAGAAGTATTGAGCACATGTGTTAAGATGTGTTGGGCGGGGAAGTGATGAAGGCCCAGGCCGTTCACATCATTTTCAATCATGACTCTTCTTTCCCTTGGAGTTACAGGGAAGAAATTGATTTACAAGAAAAAATGACTGGCTGCTACATACCAGTAGTCCAATTCTGGAGCGCACAAAGCACTTGTTATTATTTTATTACCATCTTTTAGCTTATTGCAAAGAAATAATTTTAAAATTGTCTCAAAGAGTACTCATATCAGCTGAATATTTTTTGCTATCATTTGGTTCACCTTTTTTGTCTAAACTAAACTTTTCTTAAGTAGCAAGACTTTGACACAAATATCTGTAATACTGCTATTGAAATGTTGCATCTGTGTAAGCATTCCAAGGGCAAGATATTTCTATGAAATTGTTAATTCCTCTCTAACTTACCTTTGTGATTTTGAAGAATGATTCTATTAAAAACATAATATAATTGTGATATGTGAATTTGTATCTTGTGTCACATATCAAGATACTGATTTTAAATGATATATTCATATTCATGGGATTAACTAGTAAACTATTTTAACAAACACACTGTTAAAATGTCTGTAAATAACTGTTACTTGGTAGCAATGTTATAAACTATAAGTTATACTGTTAGAAAAGTTATTTTCAAGCTGAAATTGAAAAGAAATTAAGTAGTGAACAAATGAGAATTTTAATGGACAAATTGCTCATTTATATTCAGACCACATTAATGCCTTTTATTTACATCCTTGCTATATCCTGTAAGTCTTACAACCTGGGGTGGGGGATGTGATCTGGGGTTCATTAAGGTTAAATACAGTAATGCCTGTTATCTGTCATGCTTCCCCAAAGAAAAAAAGAGTGGGCTGATCAGTTATAATGTGTGTTGCTCCAGGTGGACTTTTACTCTTTACTATATTTTACCCGTGAAGATCAACATTTGGATTAAATTGCATTGATTTTAACCAGCATAATATTAGTATTTCCAGAATGCTTAGTTCTGCCCCAAAAGTTAGGAACAACAAATAACTATTTTAACAACCTCAACATTGTCATTAGTCTCAGAGTTGTTTAACATTTTCATTCCACTGATACTGAAAGGATTTGAAGATAAAAGTTTTCTAGTAATGGATATCAGTAATCTTAAATTTCGGGCTTGTTAGTTTCCTCAGTACCAGGTAACACTTCTGCACTATTTCTCTCTAAGTTGAAATAACAGTATCTGTACTGCTGACCACAAAAAAAGCTTTTCTTTTGTGCTTAACACATTTCTTGAATGGTGCCTACACTGGTTTCTCTTCTTCTATAGGTGTCAGTGCAATTGAAGTGGTTGTGGAGCATGGCCTGGCAACCCCAGAAGGGCTCACAGTCGACTGGATAGCAGGCAACATATACTGGATAGACAGCAATCTGGACCAAATAGAAGTGGCCAAACTGGATGGTTCTCTAAGAGCTACACTAATTGCAGGAGCCATGGAACACCCCAGGGCCATTGCTTTGGACCCAAGATACGGGTAAAGACATTTTCTTTTACAGATTCACTTGGGCATATAAAATAATCTTTCAATTTACTGTTGAATTCAATTATCTCATAAACTGTGAGTCAAAGTGCTTGGTTTGTGTACATATATGCATGCATCTGTGTGTAGTTGTATACATAGCAACTAGTTTATATCCACAAGTTTGGTTATAGGATTGCTTACATGGGTACTTTTAAAGGCTGAAAATGTCTCTTTTTTTTTTCTTTTTACTGGGCAATAAGCCCTATTGGAAGCTATTGCAGCTCTTTTTCAAAGCAGTAATTTAATGAATTTCTATTTGCCCTGCCAAAGAGATGCTGTAATTATTTCTACTGGTTGCAAACTACAGGGCCAGTCTTTGTTCTAAATAGTCACAGATGTTAACCACCTCACTACTTTTCTTATTTCGTATGTTACTGGAGGCAGTTTAAAAGAAAATTTAAATAAGCCTGAAGTAGTCCAGTGGTGACAAATTGACTAACGGGCGGTTTGAAAGACAAAGCACATGATTCTGGAAAACAAGGTGAAATGTTGGATAATTCAAGGAATTGAATTGTTCTCCTGTGTGTTCCTTATGAAGGAGCAGAAGGAGACACTCACTGGGTTTGGACTCAGAAAATGTGGGTTCCAGTTCCTGCCCAGTCATTTATACTCTGCGGGAATCAAGTGTGTTATCTCCACTTAGATCTCAGTTTTCTCTTCTAAAAATTAGGGATAAGAACATCTTCCTCATAAGGTTGTTTTCGAGGAGATGATATATGTACATATGATTTATACAGGGTGGCCATAGTGGGCACTCGACCTGCAGAGAGCTCACAGACCACCAAGGTTTGTATGAAAGCCCATTCTTAATATAGGTTCAGTTAGAGAAAGTCTCAGAATGATGATGAGATGG